TATCAAATGCAAACGAAGAGAAAAGAAGAAAAATATAATAACATCAAAGACCACCTTATCTTCACACAATCCTCCCCCCCCCCCTGCGCCTCCACTCCCCTCCCCCCTCCCCTGCCCTCTTCAGCCCCAGCCTGAATATTAATTAGGAAGCATCCCACGTTAGCACAATTACCCCTTCGGCCACCTGGCTTGCTCACCGGGCTCTTATCTCTCCTTATCTACGGAGATAAGAAAGAGTGTTAAGGTTATCCCTCCTTCTCGCTGTGCTGCATCTTAATGAACTAGTTAGCATAAAGTATCGTTCCTTATAAGGTGGTTTTCGCACGTCTCATGTTCCAGCAAAAGCTATTGTGTTTCCCAGGGTTATAATTAGGCTTTTCATATGGCTGTGATGGTGTCCTTTGATTCTTTGCTTGTTATTTTGCTGTTGTAATTATTTGATGGATATTGTTGACGCTGTAGTGTGTTTTTGCTACAGCTGTTTTTGTTTTGTTGTTGCCATTGGTGTTGTTTTATATTTTTCTTGATATTGTCATTGCTAATATTTTTTGTCGTTTTGCTGTTGGTGCTAAAGAATGCAGATATGAAATTATGGTTTGATGTAGTGATGTGTGCTGGTGACGTGATTCAACGCATGTAATATAAGGGTAAACTGTGATATTCGCTGTAATATGTAGGCAGTATGATATGAGAATTGTAAGATGCAGTTTCAAATGATTCATCATGGTATATGATGACATGCCACATTAAACCGTGCTGAAACTGAAGCACACGACACACGTCTCTATTTCAATGCAAATGCGTTTCTTAGTCTATTAATACCTTGTAAGAACCCCCCCCCCCCTCCTTCCCTATATTTCTCATGAACAGTTCACACACCATAACATTTGAGTCACTCATTAACCTGATCCAAAACACTCATGATTGCAGAATAATCTAACCTACATTATTTCATCTAGTAAAATCCATTAAATTAAACCCCATTTCGATCGTGAGGCAACCATAGTAGCCATTCTTTTAGTTATTATGTGTAAAAATATACAATCTCCATCTCTCTTGATATCATTATATTTAACAGATCTTATTCACCTCTTGTCGTATAATAATTACAAATACCTGTAGAGAGACCATCAGGCTCATGCAATGGCGGTGAACTAAATGTTATCTGAGTTGAGGGTGTATGAAAAGAGAATGATAATAGTATACTAAGTATTTCAATATGCTTTGAGAGAATCAATAAATGAGTGAAGATGACGGATAAGTGGAGATAGGTGAAGAGAAAGAGTAAAAGTAAAGGGAGTAGGAAGATAGATTATGAGTGGGAATGTAGAAGAGAGTGAGGATAGGAATGGAAGGGATGATATGATTAATGAATATGGAAGGTGATAGTGTAGAATGGAAGATAGAGAAATTGAGTTATAAGAGATAGAAGAGGAGAGATCGTGTATAAGTGAATGGATTAAGGAATGTGAGCAGTAGGTAAGGTAAGAAGAATAAAAGTAGAGATGAAAGGAGGGAGCGAAAGTGTATGATTATATAGGCAATAAAATAAGAAGATGAAGAATTAAATTGAGGGAGGAGTGAGAGAGAAGGAGGAAAGTGAGGAAAGCGAATGTATTCGAGGTATATATAAGTAACCAGTCGGTAATATAGGAGATATGATAGAAAGTGAGAGGAAATAGTAAGAGCACGTAGCATAGAGAGATATAAAGACACGAGCGGGTAATAGGTAAGTAAGTGATGAGTGAAAGTGAATAAAGGTGAGAAGTTTTGATAGGTAGATAGGCTAATAGATAGAGATAATGGGTAAAAGTAAAAGAGAGGAAGTAGAATAGGGTTAATACCCGAGGATAGGATGAGGAGCAGTGATATGGAAAGGGTAGTAAATGATAACCCGGGAAAGAGATAGGAATAATAAGAATATTTATAATTATGGGAATTTAATAAGGTGAATAAACAGTATATAATATTACGAGAGACCAATATGAAAGGATATAAGAAGAGTTTCAGTGAGCCAGTAAAAGGGATATAAGTGTACGAAAAAGATATAAATAAGACTATAAATCAAACATAATAAACTTATAGGCTGATAAACAAAGTGCAACATAAATCATTAATCAATAACTTAGCATATATTAATCTAAACTGTAAGTAAACTCAACACACACCCAACACTGAATTACATAGTAACTATAATAAATTCATCAATTAAAACCTCAAGTCATAATAGCAATCTATCGTATATGGACTTAACAGCGATTATAAATCCTTATTACACAACCCAAACCTTCAAGTACTGAAAAATAACCCTCCGACTAACATTCACTCACTTTTATGCGATCAGTAAAATATACTATATGATTAGCATTGATAAGGGACAAAGTAAACGACCGAAAAGCTAGTTATTGAAAAGGATAAATGAGGTGATATATATATATATATAATAAATATAATGTTGAGAAGTAGTATATATCCCTCCTTCATCCTTCCCTACTATATCTCCTCCCTCTTCTTTATATACATCTACTTCTTTCTCTGTTGTTCTTATCACCTCGTATATATCCTTTTCCTTATTGTTTCATTCTTCTTATTTTCTTTATATATTCACCTTTTGTGGTTCTCTCTAATAAATTATTATATAATTACTCTATATCCTAACTTCTCTCATATATACCTCTTCTGACTCATCCTATATTCATTTTTATTACTTTTCCCTACTATTTTATTGTTAGTCTTCTCTCTTTTCCCATTCCCCATTCTTCTTCTTCCTCTTCTT